CCCCAAAACCCCAAAACCCCAAAACCCCAAAACCCCAAACTTCATATAATTTTTTGAAAACAAACTCCACCTCAATATGAACATCAGCGTCCAAAAACTATCACCGATCATCGAAGATAAACCAAAGCACCTCTAATCACCCAAAGCGCACCTAAAATCACCCACAAACGTTCATTCATGCCCAAAAGATCCAAAATGCACATCCGGGCTTCAATCCTCCCCTCCAAAAAGCACCCCTCCTTCCACTCCAACATCCCTCGCTCGACCATCCTTCTCCGCATGAACAGCCACTCTGCCAAACGGCAGACCCTCATTGAGGACTCTCCCTCCCCCAAATCTAGCGTCCACTCCAAAATTCCTTCCCAAAAGTACCTCCGAATCCCTTCAATCCACCCCTACCCCAGACCTCTCCGAAAGTCCAAGCACAGGAACAGGTTCTGGTACAAACGTAAAAACACTGACTCCCGTAAGCTCCCGGTCATGCTGTAGTAGTCAAAAAGAGCAAGCTGAAAATGGAGAAGTATAGGAACATACTGAGCAAACCTATGCAGAAGAGGTGGGTTAAAGTGGGAATGTGTAGGTATAGGAAGTTGATAGTGGAGCAAGAAGCAAGGTGAAGAAATTCGAAAAGCGTTCGAGATTTGTTAAAGTACATTTACTTCTTCAGCCCGTATACAAAGTAAGAAGAGAGAAATAAGGTTTAGAACGAATGTGAAAGTGGAATTGGAGTGGTTTAAGAAGGAGGCGATGAGCAAATTTGAGATGATGAGTAAATCGCATGATCAGGCTAAGTTGGATGTTGAGAAGGTTAGGCAGGTTGAATTACGGTTTAGGGGAAGAGAAGAAGTGGATTTAGGCTTAAAGTTGCTTGTATGGGTTTGTGATGAGTATTGTAGCATCTTCTGATTCAATGGCGTTTATGAAAAATATTGACTCAAAATATCAAAAATTAGCAAACTCAGCAATTTTTAATAAGATCAAGAAGGTAAAGTAAATTATAATATATTCAGGTAGAAGATAATAAGCCAGCAAAGAGTATTTTAGTTAAGCCAGAAGAAAAGAAAAAATCAAAGGTAATAATTCTTCCTCAGAAATAGCAATTTCTTATTACCAGCTTCAAATAACTTGCCTAAAGTAAGCTCTCCACATACTTCTAGCCTAAACTAATGAAACCGAGTCCTAAATCTCCTTACAAAGGTCAATCCTACCACCTATACCCTAGCAGATGCAAAGGATGTATATGAAAAGAGGCTAAGATAAAGCTAGAAAACTCAATGCTGCCCACCTCCCCTCGCTCACCCCAAATAATTAACGTTCCAAAGTCCTTTTCACGGACCCAAAAAGTGCCAAAAGAGATATCTCCAGCTCCAGCCAAGCCTCAAGACAGGTACACCCTAAAACAGCTGCCACCAGGAGCCCATAATCTGTCTCCACCAGCCAAGAGTCATCTACGCAAATCAAAGCCAAGCTTGCATCAGATAAAATTTATGATAGAGAAGAAGCCAGCAGACATCCAAGAGAGTAGTCAGAGTGAACTTTTTCAAAGAGATTTAGTCAATTCTTTAGCCGCGAAGGTAAGGAAGTAGGGTTATTAGGAAGGGAGATGGGACGATAGGGGGTGGCAAAGGCGTAGGCTTTGGGATAGCATGATTTTGATAAGTTTGAGTTGAATTTTGGAATTTTTGAGTGAAGTGATTTTTTTATATAGTTTCAAGTTTATGTGTAAGTCGTTTGGTCAGGGAATTTGGAGGAGAGATGTTGAAGTATGAATGAACTTGGATAAGAGTCAACATTGGATTTTTTAATTTGTTTACAATTTAGGAGTAATAAAGTGACTAAATCTGTCATTCCCATTAAACTCAGCCCTGAAATTCAAGAAAATCTTCAAAGATGTCGAAGCAACCTTCAGATGATTTGAAATACAAGAGAAAAATTTGATTTTAGCAGTCAGATATTAACGCCGATTAGAAATAAGAGAAAAGCGTTATCCCCAATTCCTCATTAAGAACAGCCAAGAAATAATATTTCAATATTTCTGTATTGAAACGGGGTTTTGGGGTTTTGGGGTTTTGGGGTTTTGGGGTTTTGGGG